CTCCCTGTGCTGGAAACCAGTCTATCGCATGGAATACACACACACGCACGCAGGCACGCGCGCACACACACAGAAGCCAAAGTGATTCACAAGAAGCCCCAAGTCCTTGAACTCAAATCCAAGGACTGAACGCAAATCCAGCCCCAGCATCCACTTGCTCTGACTCATAAAGGACAATCACTCTTTTTAAGAACTGTTGTAATATAGTTGAGGTTGCATGACTCTGCGTGGGTGTGTACTTATTGTAAGATGTTTATTGTGGAATAAAGTTCAACTTTCCTTGAACTGTGGGACAAAGCCCATATAAACACAAGGGGAACATACGAACTCCACACAGAGAGTTGCTCAGGTCCTGGACTGAACCACGGGCCTCAGTGCTGCAAGGCAGCAATGCAAACCACTACTATGCCACCTCATAAAGTCACTTTTCTGTTTAAAATATGTTATTATTTTACAAGGATTTTTAAACTTGATCATGCATTTTAGGGTATTAATGGACACATTAAAAAATTGTAATCCTGTAAAAATAGAATTAAACAATTAAAAAAATAGATATGGGACACTTCTTCATGAAGTAAGAAACAGCTCAGCAGAGTGCTCTGCAGAGAGGAAAATGTATGTTTCTCCACTTTTAACTCCATAGCTGTGCCATGGCTATATCTTTATGCACATACTTGTAAGAATGCATAATGCTGTAATAATAAAATAATAAAAATATTCTGGAATTATCTGTATACATTCCAACATATTATGAAAACATTCCATTTTTTTATGTGTTAGTGTTATTAGTTATTTGGCAATGTAAAACATTAACAGAGTATTACATGCTTAAATAAGATGTGTCGTAAATGTCCAGGTAAGATATTTAATCATGTGTAGATTAAAACATAAGAATGTAAAAATAATCATAAGTGAAACAAGGCCATTCAGTTCATTTATCTAATTAAGTTCTATGGGTTTGTTAATCTGATTGTCTCCAACCAGATATTTCTTGAAGGATCCCAGAGATGTTTCAGCAACGTTTGAGAAAAAAAATACACACCTACATTGGGTTTCTTTCTTATTTTATATATATAACTAGTTTAATCCTATGCTATAATATTTCAAAACCACCATTCTGCAATCTGAAGATGTGAGTGAGATTCATTAACAGTTCTAACAGTTTTTGTATGTGTACAGAATATGTGGTCTCACGGCTCCCCCTTGTGGACATATATTATATGTATTATATAAATTCTATGATTAATTTAATTCTTCTTGAGAAGAATACTTGTCTAATCCTGTGGTAGTTGTTACAGTGTAGCAGAAAGTGCATCTCTGTCTCTGCTTCTCCCTGCTGGCAGTGGGATCATAGCCTGTCCTCTCTGGATTGACGGTGTCTGTCATTAAGCTTCTACAATATGTCCAGCCTCTGGTCACTGAGCCTGTCCTCTCTGGATAGCCGAGTCTGCCTGTGTCCAGTTTCTATGACCATGTTGTGGTCACTGAGTCTGTCCTCTATGGACAGGTTGTGGTCACCATTTTATTTATATATCCACTCTGCCCTTTTGTATTGATTGGTTCCTTACATTGTCTAGTTTAGAAGAAGCAAATGATGTTAACATAAACACTTAACCTAATGTATAATAAGGCTCTACAAGCTTTTCCAATTTTGTAATTAACGTTTTTGTATTTGCTACTGATATACGATATTCCACAGTTAACTACTTAATCTGCCAGATTTTCCCACTGTTTAATTGTCAGCATCACCAAAATTAATAATACCATACTGTATTATAGAGGGGGCTCTTCTCTGGGGTCAAATATTGGCTCAATGGGGTTTTGTTGTAGTAGAAATTCTGATCAAACTGAGGTGTAGCATTGTTTCATCACTCTTCTCTATACATTATTTAGCAACCAGCGTAATTCAGGGCTGCAAGCATTGTTTGGTGTTTTTCTCAGTGCTTGAAGTGTGGGAAGACTTGGAGAGGATAATTATACGTTCGGTTAGGTGTTTATGTAAGCACATCATTTACATCTTGTAAACAAAAATTGTGCAAGCAATAGAAAACACATAATATTGCGGTTAGGAGGGAAAAAAGTCTTGATTCAAATTAGAAGCTCTGAATAATATTGTGGCACATGAAAATGTATCACTCATGGTTGAAGCTTGATCTGCAGGTTTCTACAGCTGAACAGCAGGGGGAGGCATTTCAATGTGAACCTCGTCACAGTGACGCTGAGTAATCTTTGTCTTTTACAGAAACCTGTGAGGTTCCATTTTTGGGATGGGCATCCCAGCCACACAAAGAAATAAGAACTCAGACACTGTTGTCATCTGAAACAGTTTTTACATATCTTTTCTATTTTTGCCTACAGATTCGTGGGAGCCTGGAACAAGCTTCCCTGCCGTGTTGTTGAGGCCGATACCCTTACTTCCCTCAAGAAGGAGTTGGATGAGATCCTGGAATCAATTAGCTGGATGAGCCACATGGTCTTCCTTCATTAGTAAGCTTTTATTTTGTTCTTATGAATCACACATGAAGCAGTAAACACAATCACCTGTCCTGTCACATATGGCTTTATAAGAGCTTTACAACATTGTCCTTAGAGAACCAAAGTTTCATAGGAGTTGAGACCAGGAGTTCCCCAACATGGCCTTGGGGGACCCCTGTGTCTTTTGTTTTTCTTCCAGCTGAGCTCTTAATCACAAGCTAATTTCTTAAATTTGCTTTTGGCTCTTCACAAGTTGAGTGGGATTTGTAATGGGTATGACCCCTCTGTCAGTCCTGGATTCAATAGCAGGACAGCACCACGATTACAAACAGTGCCAATTGGGTCTCAGAAAGTCAAATACTCTGGACCTCCGTTTAACCTCCCATCTGGAGGGTGACACCTTCTACAGCACAGTGTCCCCACTCATCATATATTTTTGGAAAGATTAGTCCAGAAGGAAGTGCACCACCTACTGGTCCACCATCACTCCTTACAGCACCAACCTAGTTTCCCTTAGAGGTCTACCATCCAAGCAAGTAATGACCAGACCCGGCCCTGCTCAGTTTCTGAGACCTCACAAAATCAAGATACAACTTGATAACAGTAATAAAATATTATTAAAATAATCTACAACAAGAGAGTCTGATTTTTCTCCACTGCTGTAAAGAATAATTACATATTTATTGTTACGATTATAGGATAAAATGCTTTTCTGGTGGAGCCAGATGTCCATCTTCAGAGAAGTGAGCACCATTGTTCTCCTTGTGGGAGATGGTGCAGCAGGTTACTGTGGAATATGGAATCATAGCTCCATGGTACTGTGTTTAAAATAGTGTTCTTATCTCAATTTAATTTAGACATGCTATGAGTCCTGAAATCTCTCCCCTCCTCCTCCTCCGGCTCCAGCCCTGCAGTGAATTTCCCCAGTTTGCCTTAAGTGTTTAAGAGCCTGTGGTGCAACAGCAATCAGCCCAAATCTTCTTTGTCTGTCCCTCCTGCAGATCAGTTCACCCACCGCTGTAATTAAGGATAACCAAACAGTGCAACTGTACACTCCAGGCAGGGAGAGCCAGCGGACCATGTTGAGGACTCAATCAGTGTGATCTGTTATGTCTGCAGAGCATAGTGGCTGCGTTTGGGACAGAACAAGAAAGGGTATAACAGGAAAAGAAAAGAGTCATGCTGTACATTGAAACATTATGCAATACTTTTATTGCTTTTTATATACAATTTATTAACTGTCCTGTAAGCACTAATATAAAATAAATTACAAAATGCAGCAGGCTTGGTATTGCTTCCACTTTTGTACATGAAAGACATTGTTGTGATCAACACAGTGCTCACACCCTTCAGCTTTCACGTACCAACACAGAAAGATAAATGTTGAGGAAACTGTCCCCATTTAGTCTGCATTGATTTGGTTCAGCGTCTTCATGGAGGCAGAGCAGGCCCAGTTTCATCAGGTGGTTAGTTCACAGAGGTGGCCCTACAAGGCAACTTTACTTATTCACAATTCTCCAAAAGCACTTTAGGCATGTCCCTCCACACTGCAGCGCAGCCTCTCAGCACTGCGCAGCGTACTTTCCAAGAGCAGTAGGGCTGGGGGTGTCAGGCACCACACCTCCCATTGGTTCTAGTCCAGGCCTTCAGAACAGCTGCTGATCATTTATAGGAATAGTGAATTGCCACTTTATTAAATGGGCAAACAGCTGGCTGGGCCAAAATACTGTAGTGAACGGCTTTTGTAGGGTCAGTTCGTGAAGCATCCCTCTTTCCCACTGTGGTGAGGGATGCTGGTGTGTGTGGAGAAATTAAGGGGCTGAAAATGTGCATCTCTCTTACAGTTTCATATCGTGCTTCCAAGAAGAAAATACACATGAGCATGATCAAACATGATTTGAAAATCTGAGGCTTGTTGATGTCCTAGTGAAAATTGAAAACCTGAGGTACTTTATTACACAAAAGGTTGTTGAACTATAGAACAAGTTGACATCCACATTGTTGAAATGTTATTATCTACGGTATATAAGCATTACTGATAATTACACTGGCTTCCTTCAAGGAAAGGCTGGCTGTGATCCCAAGATCAATTGCCAATGATAAAAAATAAACAAACTTTGTGGTCTGAGTGGTCCCCTCATGTTATTGACCTTCCTTATTTTCTTATTCTTTTATAATGACACTGGGCTGAAACATTGATTGTTCTTCTCACCTGGCGGCACTGTGTTACTTCACAGGAAGCTCTTGAGGACAGAAGTATCTGTTCTCATCCCAGCACATGCTGATTTGCCTGCAAAACTGTCAATTAAAAATAAAACAGAATTGAACACACTCCTCGTAATATAAAAGCTCCCAGTGGTGCCTGTCCAGACACTTCCATATACTAACGTGTGGATCTGCCATCACAGACACTTGCCATCCTTCAGTCTGCAAGATGAGGCCACTGAGGGATGAGCAGAATTGCTGCATCTTGGCAGTTCCAGTAAAGATGTAGCCCTCATGGCTGTGAGGATCACCCTGTTTGTATTTGCGCAGAAGGATCTGGCATCAGGGCCTGTTTTGCCAGGTGACAGCTACTGTGGCAGCTCAGTCCCCCAGTCCCACCCCAGGGTGCAGCCCAGCTGCTAGTTCCTCGAGTTTTCAGGCGGTCCTGTCACACCACTTCAATTATTTCGTCTTCCTCCTCTCCCATTTCTCCTTTTCCTTGCGTGTTATCCTGCTCCTCTGGCAAACTTTCCCTTTTTGAGGAGGAGGCTGACAGAGACTCAGCACGCTGGCCCACTCCGGCTGTCTTCTGGTCATGACTCTGCTTCCTCCACTTAATCCTCCTGTTCTGAAACCAGACCTTCACCTAAAACCAGAACCCGGGAGGTTGGTGAGCCAATCTTTGTGAGTGCGAAACAGGATTTAGATTAGATGATAACTAAATGCCAATGGTGCAGTCTTGGGCAACTATAATGCTCCATCAGTAGTTTGAAGTAATGTATCGGAATGTGTTTTTCAAGGGAAAAATAATTATTTCATTTGGCATTCTCTGCTTTGTTGTATTGTTTCAGACACATCTTTCCACTACACTTGAAAATCTTCTCATTTATACTCTTTCTCAATCCAATCAAACCTTAAACCTGCAGCAGTAGCTTGTTGAAAGTAGAATGTTGCTTACAGATGGGCTAGATGAGCCAAAAGACCCTCCTTTTATTTATAACCCTTCTTGTGTTCTCAAACCATCTAAGTAACAAAGTACATTGAATACAGTTGAAAACAGGTATTTTAAAAACACCCGAAGAAAGCTCTACAGCCAAAACTTTGTGTTTCTTTTCTTCTCTTTTCAGCATGGAATAAACCATTACCTGCTCCTTTGCAGCCTAAGCATGCTGCCACAGCTACCTACTTAAACTATTTTAGAAATAGAACTGAGATAACACCTCTCAGTTCTCCTCAACCAGTTTGCAAACGTATTACAATGCAAGGCATATGTCATTGTAATGTAAAAGCTTTCATCATCTTTGCCCCTGTTTTCCAAAGATGCAACAGTCTGGGTGTCAAGATTCCTCCAAGACCATTAAGAAGGTGTTAAGAACACGCTGCTGCTAACAACGCCCACTGTGGTGTGGTATGCACACTCACCCTAGTCTGTTTGACCAGCTAAAGCTTTCCGACACCTCAGAGGGGCTGACAGACAAACACGAGGGCCTACTACCAGAAGAGAGGTCTGCGCAGGTGGATGAGGTGCAATGGGTCACACAGTAAGATTCTGCTTGAAGGCGTGAAGGAGCTGCTGTGATTATCTGATTTCTTTTACTAACTAGGCTCTCCCCCCAAAGGGTAGTGCTAATGTAGGAATCAATGCACAATTCTGTTTAGAAGCACCAGATTCAGAGAGCTGTATTTGTGGACATTTATGTACGAACGCACCAATCCCATGGGCCAAATGCCGAATGCTGGCACTGGGAGGATGCGGTTAGTGGCACTCAGATATCAGGAAAGGATGTCCATCAGCACTCTCATGGTGGGACTTTTGAGTCTACAGAGTGTCCACTTTAGACATACTGTACTGAGACGGGATGCACTAAGAAGTTTGAGTGGGTGTCTGGGTGCGAGTTGTTAAGGAAAAAGTGGAGGTTAATTCAACTTTTGCAAGTTGAATTAAGAAAAATTCAATATTTTGGCAGTGGAGCCACCCTCAGGTGATGACATACCTGACTCCATAGACAAAATACTATTTCTGTTCTTCTTTCTACTGCTCTGTGTTGGACTCTCTCCTTGTCATGATGTATTAAGCCCAGTCAAGATTAAATGTTGATGTACAAGACAACTAGTTGATGTACAAGAGTGCTTAATAACATGTAGGATCAGCAGCAGGCCAAAGTCGCACACTAGAATGGAAGAGCTGAGCAGAATCGGCCTGCCTCAGGCCGGCGGCTCTCACCTGTGTCTCAGACAGGTTCAGCATCAGGGCAAGGTGCACGCGCTCTGTGCCCACCATGTACTGGTGCCTCAGGAACTCCAACTCCAGGCGTTCCAGCTGCTCGGGGGTGAACACAGTCCTCACACGCTTCATCCTGGCTGCACCCCTGCGCCACAGCGCTGCCAGCTTATCCGGGGCGCCCCCTGCTGGAACAGGGCAAAACCCATCTGAGCTACACACACACCGCACCATGGTCCTGCAGAGCTACAGTGTCACCCAAAAAACATCTGAGCTATACACAATGCACCCAGGTCCTGGACAGTCACAGACCTATCTGGTTTTCATTGCAACATAGCTCTCAGTTACAGAGGGAACTGAGCCTATTGTTGAAGAATCTGAATCATTAAAAGATATGTGGGTTCAAATCTTTCAGCAACAGTTACTCTCTCCTGTCTGGGGCACCACATTGGGCTTCTTATTTCAACTGTTTAATGAGTACAAATAGTGTAGTTCACTTAGTAAAAATATGAGTCGAATTCATTAATATTCAGGTAACAATATTAAATGCTAAAGCTGAACAAGTCTTATTCCAGTTTGACGCACATGGCACTGTTAAAAAACACCTGTCAGAAGTCGGACTTGAGTGGGAGAACTGACAGGTTTCAATCTCGCTTCTAGCGGTGCGAGAAATTTACAACAGCACCGGCATTTGAAAGCACGGATGCAACGTTGTGAAGCATTCCAGAAAAAAAGAAGACAGGTTTCTGGACTCGTTTCTGAAAAGCTGTACCTTAAAATCCAACTGCTTCTATAACTTTAAGAAAAATATTTCTCTGTAATGTTCCAGTAAAAAAAACCACTTAACTGCATACAACTACAAGTCGCTATAGATAAAATTGTCGGACAAATTAATAAATAAAAGGATATTCAAGAAAAAAAACAATGCAAGTAAAGCTCTTACTTCTCTGTCTGTGTAGGGCGTCGAAGTGTTCGCACCTACTGTGCAGTAGTCCGGCCGGAACGGGGACGTATCCCACGGTGTAGGGGTATGACACGGTGGCAGGCCAGCTCCCGGTCCAGAGGGGGCTGCGCTCCACTCGGACCCCAGCGAGACCGCTCTCGGCCTCCACTCTGCTCAGAATAGAGTCAATGCTGAAGGGAAGCTTGACTGGTATTTGGGACGGATCTCTCATCTCCGCCGTCTTGAAGGTCTTACTCGATGCACCATTTAAAATAAACTCCGTTTTCTCGTGGTTAGGCAACATTTTCGGGGAAAAATTAAGCTTTTTTTTCAGTCTGAAAAATGAAGAAAATAAACGAAATATATTTCTTTGAAAACAAAAGGCACATCTGTGTTTCCCAGTGACCAACGGCGAACAGTCGTTGCTGGCTTTTTGGATGTGAGCCGTAGGGTTTTTATACGCCTGAGATACTTTCACATGCACAGCACCAGGGGACCAGACTCCGGGGAAATGACTGGGTAGTCTCAGCCCCCACTCTTCCACCACACCCACACCACCAGCAGTATTGTGATTTGAAAAGATGCTGCCACTGCATTTTAAAGTGAGAGCAAAGCCCTTTTCCCTTTCGACATGTTTTGCGTTCACACTCCGATTATATCATTTGAAGATGTATTACAGCCTCTGTGTAAAGAAGTGTCTCCTGGTCTCGGTTTGAAATGCATTTCTACTTAGTTTCCACTTGTGTTCCCTGGGTCGGGCTTCACCTGATATTACTGATGATGATATTGTAGTTATTATTAGTCATGGTAGTTTTACTTCTACTACAAATATATTACTTGGGATAAAGCGAAGGTAATCCGGCTAAAGGCAGAGCAGGCATAATACTTTCAATACTAACGCCATCGCTAATATTGCTTTTCTCTTACACGTACTGTCGCTTTCAATGATGTATTGTAAAATGAGTTGTGTTTTCTAATAGCTTCAAGGTGTACTTACAAATCTTTAATCACTTCCTTTTATCAGCATCAGTATTTCTTTTTTAACGGTACAGGATGAGCAATGAACCACAGAGCTTTCCTTATAAACAGGAAATGGGGACCACAATGTAAACAGGCAGCCTGTTCTTGATGTCGTCATGAATACCTGTTTCGTTATTTAAATGTTATTTATTAATATAGCATAATTCATATTTATTCATAATGTATTATTGTACCTATCTCATATCGAAATAAACGTTTGTATTAATCTAAACAATCTTGATACATTAACCATTTAAATCAACGGAAGATCGATAAATAGATCATGTCTTTAGAATTACATTAATCAATTACTCGACCAATTACTGAGTGAATGTTGTGTCCAACGCATCACAACAGCTCCTCCCCGAGTTGTTCAGTACTGACTGCCAGCTATAGACAGCATGTTGTTCCCTGTACTGACCTCGGGCCTTTAATTTAAATAAATGGTATCAGCATTTAAGTAGCTGATCCACTCCTGTACAAACAATAAAACGCTACATTTGATAGTAGTGGTCTCTTCTTGTATAGTTATGAAAACAAATTAATAAATCGTCGAGTCGTCCTGCAGAGCGTACATTTTAATGTATTTTAAACAAGCCCAATTCTGAACAAGCTCATTTTTGCCTTTATTAGAGGATGAAAATACAAGGTGGGTGCAATGGCTATAGATATTATATTTTATTTAAAAAAAAAGACCTGGGGCATATTCCCGTTTTGTTCAGCAACCAGTAGTGGTCTTCCCGGTCACTTTCCCCTCTAGAAGGACCCACATCTTTCATAAGCAGTGTTAAGGTGTCACGGCCGCGCGAGCCGCACTGGGCCCGCATTAACCGATAAACTAATGGACCGTTTTGTTTCTCATTATCACTGTGTGTTCAGCTAATCTATTGCTCTTAGAAACCTGGAAATTTTCTCCCCGTCATAACGAGATGGGAAAAGTAGCACTTTCTTGCTTTTGTGCCACCCCAGTGAGAGAGGGGGGAGCGCTATCACCTGCGGGTCCTGAAGAGTCCTCGCCTCTTCCTCCACGCCGGGAGAGCGGATATCAGTGGACCCCAGTAGCGCCGCCCCCATGTTTTGGAAAATTTAAACAGAAATCTGCGTATGACCGCTAAGAGCTATTTGTTTAGCTTACAATCGATCTGAAACCGTTAAACTGTGAAAAACACCCGTCGGATTTAATGAGAGAATAGCTAATATCGATCATTATATAGTGTTGAGTTTCATTCATGTAGTTTATGGTCAGCATTAAAATAATTTGTTTTTCATATTTTAATAATCCGAAAGATGTATTTTTATACGCAGTATAAACTGTATATAGACTGAAACTCTGACACCCAGAGCTCCCTATCTCTAGGCGCTTCTTCACTCATGTTCTATAAAATAAACAAATATATTGTGCGAAAGTCCTACACTTGAAGATGCAAAGCGAAGTGAAATAGTGTTCTTTCCGTTTCTTTAAAAAAAAGAGGTTAGTTAACGTCAAACTGGTAAAAGGGGTTTGTTCTGTATATTCTACTAAATATGAAGAAAGTAATTAGCCTATAAAACACCTTTCTTACAGCTTTGAGTTGGTAGAAACCGGCTATCAGGTGAGATGCAGACTCTGTGATTCCTAAAAGTTACTGCGAAGGACGACCTGCTGGAATTCTTAGGGTAAAAGGAACAAGCCTATTTCCTGAAAGCCGCATTAAAAGTTGTCAGTTGAGTTTTCCATTTCCATTAAAAGGTAGTTACAATGTATTGGTATTGCGGTTTAGTTCATGCGCTTTGTCCCGGCGTTAGATGTCATTGTACTGCCCATCTTGGACCTTTTGCAAAAAGACAAAAGATCGAAAGAGACATCAAACGATTCTAATGGATGTTAATGACTATTAGATAAATTGGTCCACAAGCCCTGGCCCACAAATAAAATGCAAAGGCAGGTTTTACAATAGCCTACCCTAAAAACCTTCCAGAACTCGAGTGAACTACATTAGTGCTGCTCTTTTTTTGAAAGGCTGTTCCTCAGCAGTTACCACATGCAGGCTTTTTAAGGCGTTAAGCTCCATGAGAATTTTCACACCTAGCTTTTCTAAGAGCACAATAGGTCAAAATTTCCATTTGATTCGGACATTGAATCGCGTTCTCTAGGTGCTGAAAATGTGCGGCGGAAATCTCTTTTCTCACTCTGTTACAAACTCAGGTCCTGCCAGCAATTGCGCAAGACCACCTTACCGCCGTCAGACGCCACTTTGAGACTGATGGAGTAAACTGGGAGTTTGTTGATATCCCCGTATAGAACCACAACTGTTTTTTGATGTATTAATCATACAGGTAAATCCCCTTCACTAGCTACAAGGTACCTAGTGATACCAATTAGGGAGGATTAGCAAACACTGCAGAAAATGTAACTAAAACATTTAAATTAAACAGTAAATTAAACTAAAAATAAAGTTTTAGAAGAACAACTGGTAGTAAATACATAAATTACAAATACAAAATGAGACACTTGGAGAAAAGAGACTATCAAAACTATACTGTAGGTGTCCATATTGTCACATCATTTGTCGTCTAGATAAGGTGGGAAAGCAAACAAAAAGTCAAGATAAAATTGTATAATGTCTTCGTGAGACCTAATTTAGAATACTGTCAACAATTCTGACCAACCTATTTATAGAAAATATATTGTTGCAATGGAAACATTGCAATACATTATATTTTCAGGGTCTTAATTTCTTAAGGGAATGTCCTACACTGACAGGGAAGAGTAATAGAGACTTGATACAAGTAATTCATTATCCTCAAAGGCACTGTCAAGGTCACCTTTTACAATATACTTTAGAATGGACAGTGAAACATGGACTATAGGGCACAAATGCAAACTATGCTGAAGTGTATTTGAAACTGAGAACAGAGAACAATTATTTATAACGAATTGTGGGAGTATGGAACAAGCTACCCATCCATATTGTTAAATCTGATAATCGGATTTATTTCAAGAAACCGCTGGATGAGTTCCCTGGATCAAGATGTTCCTGAATCCCCGAAGGGCTAAATGACACCTTTTCTTGTGGTCTTACAGCAAACAAATATTTAACACCTGATTTCCATTGACAAAATAACATACAATTAACCACTTTTATTTAGGATTTGCCAGGAAAAGGTAGTGTGAGTGATATGTAGCTGGATGGCAAGCAAAAAAAGTTGTAACCTTAAGAATGTTTAAAATTATAATATAAACAAAGTATAAAGTAATACACATTTTATTAATGTTTGTTTTGTGAATTACCACACAATAATAACTCTACCGTGCCATTATGTAAAACATCTGATAATATCTGCTAGATGCAATAATAATAATAATAATAATAATAATAATAATAATGTGTTTTTTCAAGGAGCTCAATGATGATCATATATTATGCATACCATATATTAGACTGCAGTTAGGCTAAGATTTTCTGAAATAAGATTGTGAAAAATTATTCTGGCTGATGTTCTAGAAAATGTTTCAGTTAAATGAGGCCCATTTTTTAGAAAAAGAGTTATATGGAAAGTAATGGTATTGATTTAAATAAGCTTTCTCCTTGTGGCTGAAGAATTTGGTGGAGACAGTAGAGAAGATTACTGAAACTGGATGTGGTCCTGGAATCTTTCCCCAGTTAAATATCGGTAAAGCTCAGGACTTTTCTTTTGGGAAATGAAAATAATCCTCCTTGCTCATCCACTGATAAAGTACAAGCATGTCTCTCCACGTTAATGAATAAGATCAAAGAACTGCATTCTTTAAAAACATCGAACAAATGAGGATTTAATGTAGCCACAACAGGATTTAGATGGAGCATTAATATAGTGGGGAGAGCTAAGTTACCGCTGGCTTGTATTTAATTATCCTTTTTCAGTTAAAGCATTGTCCTCTGCTAATTGGGACACTATTGGACAAACAGGACCTCTCCCTTGTTCCCAGGCTCCTCAGCCTGAGGGCACACGCATCTCGCAACAATGGGATTACAGCGTGCCGGGGAAATCCGTCCTGATCACTTCAGGAGTCGTTCCGGGTTTTAACCATCCTCTGTGGCAGAGACAAACGCGCATTAACGCAGCATCTGTACGGCCTTGATTACCTGACCGAGGATAACCGTACGCAGGAGAGATCCCACTGCACCAGTTCCAGTGTCTCTGTCACCGGGACCATTCCTGTTCGGCTTTCCCTAGGCGTCTGGCTTGGCTGGGTACTTTTCTCTACAGCGCTTGTGGTTAGAATGGAAACAAGTCTACACTGCTCTGGAAAGCAACATGCAGAAAAAGGCTTTTAGTAAGAGTTGAAATGAAAAAAATTCATTTTCTATCGTTTTCTAATGAAATGTTCTGCTTGAGAGCTGAGTTGCATCTTGTACATACTGTAAGTATACACTTAAGCACATAAAGCTCACGAGCTGCTAACAGTCTATTACTTGAGCACATGAGCAGCAATGTGGTTTAACGTAGTGCTAACTAAATGTGAATTACATAAAATGTCTAGATTGGGTACAGTTCTTAGTGTTTACATTTCTAGCTAAATGTTTTTAAGTCTTCTTTAAGCCATTAGTTAACTAAACATCTGAATGGTTGCTCTACATATGATGTTGTGATTCCAGGAGGAGCTCTTAACTGGTAACATCTGCCTTGGTAACATATTCATCTGGCATAGCTGAACTCATATGCGTAATTTACAACTGAGAGCGTCCTGCTCTTCTTTACACAAAGAGCTGTAGGGGTGTGGAACAAGCTGCTTAATAACGTTGTTGGGGTTGAAACCCTGGCTTCTTGCAAGAAAGAACTAGATGAGATTAATGGGTGAATTATCTATCAACTATCAAATAAGAAAGACGGTCATCCTCTCATTTGAAACCTTGTTTACAGTATGTCCTTATATAACACAACTTCTTTTCTTTTTTCTACTTTTTTTTCATAACTGGACACCACATCAATCCCATGTACCCAGAACCCTCAAGGTTGCTCAAAGCCGGTTAGGTGTCCCGGAGAGATTTCACTGTGACTCATGGGTCAGTTTTTATCTCTGCAGGACAAATGCCTCCCCTTTATGTTTTGTTATTGTTGGCATGTTCTATAGGTTTGAAGTAGCTAATTGTTTAAAATTTGAGCAGGTGTTTTGACACAGGCTTGAATGTGCAGTCCTGCCACTATGATGTAATTGATTTGCAGTAGTGTGTGAAAACGTGCTGCTGTCCTTCTCTCTGTCAGCGAATGTCTATGTAGTGTGGCAGTAATTCTCTACCATTTTCTCCAGTCCATGACTGTCAGAAGGATGCAGCCGATGAAATGTCTCCAAATCAGGAGGTCAGCCCTGACTAGTAACTGCTGGGACTCCAGTTTTGCAGCAGTAATTAGTTTGATTGATGTCATTATCTCCTGATCGTCTTGCCTCGCCTCATCCACCCTGCAGAATACAATCCTGATGAAAAAGACATGAAGGTTTAATATAACTCTCTGTGTGCAATGTGGGGAGATCAGAGATAACAGCTGCCTTCAGTCTGCTTGCTTGATGTCTCAATCATCGCAGTGGAGATGCACTGTTGACCATTTAACCAGATTACATGCTGGACTAGGGCCACTAGGATGATCTAGAGTGACCTCCCTGACCTCTGGCTACAGATATCCCTGCTAATCTGGGTGTGCGAACTAACTTTGCCGTCAGCAGTCTGGCCTTGGGGCAGCCAGAACAGCAGTAATCTCCTCAGGATCATATGCTCAACAAGCACAGTAGACTGAGTTAGCCACCTCTAGCCTGGGCTATTAACTCACAGACTCACAGTTGGCTATCGGAGCAGTCAGCACTATGAACAAGATCTTTCTGTCTAGCTTATCTATCTGTCCATCTGTCTGCCCTACCTTGCAGTCCCTTTTTGTCAATTACATTTTTCTTCCTGGTTTATGTGTCCCTGTGTCAGTGTCTGCTGAACACGTGTGGAACTCTGAGAGTCATCTCTATGTGTTTTGCCTTGAAACTACTGTACACACAGTTACGCTCTGTGCTTGAAAATCTAATTGTTCTTTGTTTTTTTTTAAATCCTCCACTTAATATCACATATCCTTAATCAACCCGTACCTCTAAAACGGAATAACACAAAATGATCAAAAATATCTCATCCATTTCAGCAGGATGAAGACTGCATAAAACTCTATACTCTATTGATGAATTGAAGAAGCTTTACAAAATATTACACAAACATTAAGCAAATGTAAAGAATATTTTCATGGCGCAAGAGATGGTTTAAAATAAAAATCACTCATGAAATAGTCTTAATGCAGCGTTCTATTGTCAGAGGGCAACATTTTCAAATTCACCACCATATTCAGTCAGGAAGTGTTCTTAAAACAAACGCAAAAACACTGAATACATCCTAAAGGCGGAGGTCGCGTATTTAAATAAAAAGGAAGCCCCTTTCCATTCCTGTTTAAATAGGTAAATTTCTCGTTTTGATGTTGCTTTACAAAAGTTTACCAGAGAATGATCCTACGTGTAGAAAAGGCTCGCCGTCTTTATTACCTCGTCCAGCGTTGATCTATGGTAGCCACACTGCAAAATTACACTGCATAAACGGCATCCACACCTAAATCGGATTAGCAGAGATGGAATGCTTGGGAACACTAACAAACATTTTATAACTGTTTCATTGTTTGAATTGAAGTTTGAAATGGCGTACTTGCCAACAATATAAGCACCTATAATAGGATTACTGTACAAAGCGAGCGCTGCTATTCATCTTTACGATGTCTCTGAACTTTCTGTCTCTGAAATTTCACATTAGAATCAGATCTGGCACGTGAAGGCAAATCCTCTCTTATTTTTTCAAAATCCGGAAAGATACGTAGTTCAACAGGGATGGCACCCGAGCCACCCATGATAGTATCAGCACGAGTTTCAAAAGAGAAATACAGAAGAACTCGTTCAGGTTCTCGGTTTCGAGAACATTTAGCATGCAGCCTATAAGACCTACAAGACCTATAACCATAGACCGAAAACAAACCCCTACAAGCCTCTGGTAGGCTGTAGGCCTCTTGGTTTTAATTTATTGTGTCAAACTTACTTTCATTTCTTGAATGTAGGTATTACAGGTGTCTTTAAAACAAACACTGAAAGGATAGTTCAGTCTTGAAAACGCATGTCCTATTTTCATACGGTGTTCCTCTCCAGTGAAACAAGCAAGTGTTCCCAATCTGATCGGCGCCTTTTGCTGTTTCTTGGTCTTTGATTGAATTGGATATAAATAAGCCTGTTATGTGAGATAATCCAACTTTTACACGTTTATTGCTAAAGAGCAGAATTCATGGTTTATTCTCTTTGAGGTCCAAGCGCTGCAGTTTTGCCTTAGTTTTCAAATACAGTTTATGTCTTGGCCTATGAATTCCCACCAACATAAAAGCAGTTAGTGAACCGAACGAGACTTTATTAATTATTTGCTTTCATGGAACATTTCGTATAGCTTTGCTTTTGTGAAGCAGAACATGATCTTTCTGTAAGAAATTATTTCCACGTGGTGTACTTTATTAATTTGTCGATATTAACAATATGAGTAAACAAAACATATTTGTGTTTTTATACCGTAATTTGCACAATGTTGTGGTTTAAGTGGGGTTTGTGTATTTTTATCATTAACTTCATCTGAAAAACGAAGTTTATTTAATTTTATTTTTTAGACAAAGTTCTTGTAAATTTAGGTGCTGCTCGTTTTTAAATAAAATATATGAGTCCTCTTCACTTTTATTTACCCTCTAATATAATATTCGAGGCGAAAAGGATCCGTACAATTCTATGAAGAATGTGATTCATAATGATTTTAAAAAAACAAATTTTTCAAAGTTTCTAATAGTGGGATAATTTTTTTCGGTACAAATTAAACATACATTTGTTTACTAAAACAAATACTGCACCTTAAATTTCTAATGTATAATTATATTAAGACCGACTTAATGTACTAATTGGCGCTTGTCGGACCCACTGATCTGTATGAAACTCAGGTGTACAACGGCATTGATAAAGAGAAAATCAATTTTACAGACTGAAGGTTATATAGGAATTGTGTGCTTTTTCTATGGAAAATTTATTTATAACAAAAATTGTCATCTTGTTCATCGTGCAATTATTGTTGTTCTTTCAGAAGTTGTTTAATTTCCAAAACTTTGAAATACTTTCGCCGCTTTTACAGTGTATTAATGTACATTCATGTACATTGCATTCGATTTAAGATCACGTTCTCAAATCTAGAGATTCAATGGGCCAAACTGAAGCTCATTGCTCTTGTTGTCAGACAAATCCTCAAGGGCGAGAACACAGAGCACGCCTTTACACGAAGAGTTAGGGGCATGTGATGCAGAGTACCATAGCGCTCGCTTCTTACGGAGTCTGACCGAAAAGGTAAAAAAACTCATAGACGATAAACCTACTTCGATACAAAAATTGCTCATGGATCAAACTCTGAAAAGATCACAAAAACAATGGGCAATACACCAAATTATGGTGTATTAAACTGCTTCTGTAAACTGCTTCTTAGGCTGAATGATTTTGAGCTGCATCGTGAAAACTAGATTGAATTTAACACAGTCATTTCCGGACATACTCGCTCTTATTAAGGACACAATTTCAGGGCTGATTTTTTTTAAATCGCTTTTTATTATTAGTCCTCCTTTAATACAAGGTAATAAATAGTACTGAGTAAGGAGCTGTGTCAGGGTGCGTTCGCTACATAGTAACAACTAACAGTTAATTCCACACTGGAAAATAAAAAAGGCGACTCAACGCTTTGGTTGTTGAGCTTCCTTCGGGTGCAAATCATATATACATGTATCATAAATAATAACATTGCGCTGCAAAAAGCCAACGTGTAATATACATATTTTACACATTTGTACAAATCTTAAAATATTGAGGCTATACAATATGTATTATACAATTGGCTATATACAGTCGAGTGGCTGTGGAGCTCAGGAAGGGACAGTTCAAGCTGGAAGCCCCTCAGCTTTGGGGCGAGGAGACCTCGAGTTCGTCTACGGACTCCTCGGAGCCGTCAGTTTCCTCCTGCTTGCCCTCGCTGCCCTGCTGAGAGTCCGCGCTGTCTTCCGGCGACGCGAGACCAAGCTTCGCCAGTTTCGCTTGCTGTTGCTCCAGAGTCTGTTTCCTCCACTTGATCCTGCGGTTCTGGAACCAAACTTTAACCTAGATAAGAAGGAAGAAACGAAATAAGGGTTATTATCGCTGGGGTATTGTCATGACTCCCTGAATTCTCACACGAAATACATACGTCTTGTTCATTTTCTTTTAACTCAAGTGGTTGCAATGACTGGCCACTCCACCCATGAACTAAATATTTTTTTCAAAAGCTTAGAAGTAGTTTGAAAACGAACTTTTCGAAACGAGGCTGGAGGTGTGCTAGTCCGTTGCCGATTAATTGCCGAACAGTGGAGTAATCAACACGTGTATTGATATAATCGAACGTATAAGCCTACCTGTGCCTCGGTGAGTTGCAAGGAAGACGCCAGGACGAATCTCTCCGAGCCGACCATGTACTGCTGTCGCGCAAACTCCTTCTCCAGCCGGGAGAGCTGCAAGTTGGTGAAGATGGTGCGCATTCGCTTTGACTTCCCCGGCTTGTGTTTGAAAGATGGCACGCTGTTCTTTGAAAGATGGGGGTCTGCTGCCAAAATAAATGAAAAATATTAAGTACCATACCAAAGAGTGTCGGTCTTGTCTTTATTTAGAGGTTTTCCTCGCAGCGGAATACCAACATACGACGACTGAAATTCGCAAAAGCCAAAAGGAGAAGTTGAAATGTACCTTGAGTGTAAAAACCTCCGCGGCAGGGCTCCTGGTAAGAGAGGTGCGGGTAGTAGCAAACAGGGTATCCCGAGTGCGACTGCAGAAAGCTCGGCGTGTAGAGGTGCGGAGCCATCTGCGGGCACAGCGGTGGCTGGAGCGACAGCGGAGGGACAGCAGGCTGGCAGTTTCCTCCACAGTGAGGAGGGCTTGCCCGCTCACACGTCGCGGAAGGCTGCTCAGACGTGCCCAGCAAAGCGTCGATGGTGAAAGATTTCCCGTTGGAAGGTTTTGGGACAGGGCTGTTGTTGCTTGCGTATTCTGGGTAGACAGGCGCCCAAGACTGCAAGTGGTACCCGTACATTCCAAGAGGCATAGCTGGGACCTGCATCGTTCCAAACCCCGGAGAGCTAGTCGGAGAAACCGTGCGGATCCACAGGTAGATGTTCCTCGGTCTGTCCCAAACAGGCATGGGTGCCTCCTTTTATACCCACCTCACAGCCCTTACGTGTCAAAAGACCCCCGCTGCGCTTTTGTCTTCTTAAGTAGCAGATGAGAAAAAATGACCGGTCCGACAAGGGATTCAATTAATTGATTGACTACTGACATGCTGCGACTGTCAATATCCTAATGTCCTTGTCCAGGACAAGACTTTAGAGGAAACTTAAACAGAGAAAGGGTGCTTGAAATTAAGGGGAGGGGGTGCGGTTTGTACAAATTCTTGAAAGGATCCCAACTCCAGAAGCAATAATTACCGCTGAGAAAGCCTTGATGTTACCTAATCATCTTACTTCTTGTCTTAAGTCTCAAAGCGAGCCGACAGATGTTGTACAAGCAGCGGAACAAATAGCTTCACCATTGGAGAGTAAAACGGACATAAAGAAATCGCATTATTTTAAATCGCTGACTAGGATGAACACTGTGTCTGCGCCTTCTTGTTATTTATTAATATCTCCATCCCTGAACCACAACATGTTCAGTATAATGAATATGTTATATAGTATAACAACCTTTTATTCAAATACACGTGTGTACGGTGAGTGAATTGTTATAAATTTACTCAATAACTTTTTTTTCACATAACTGAACAGTATCTAATTGTTAGGACAATTTCTTGTGTTTGACCTACATAAACACACTTCTGGGTTTATTGACACAGTGGAAGAAAACCAATTCTCTTATTGGATTTTAACACAACATAGTCACAAACACAACAGTCATTAGAGGGCTATAGTTTATTAATCATCCAGGTGGATGCTGCACATTGGTGGTGGTGGAGGGGGGTCCCCATTACCTGTAAAGCGCTTTGAGTGGAGGGTCCAGAAAAGAGCTGAATAAGTGTAAGCAATTATTATTATTAATCAGGCGCTTCACCGCTTTTGTAACGGTACCTTCGGAGGCAACACGTGTAATTTGTTTGCTGGATAAAAAAAGGGTGGCTTTGATTGGATTCAGATGATTATTGCTGTTAAATTCGTTTTTGCTAACGAGCTGTGAAAAGTCGCACCTCTAGCTGTGTAAGAAGCTGAACCTGAAATAAAAAGACACCATATTACATTATATTTTTATTGTATTTTATTGGGCAGGAAGTTCCAATTTCGTTTTCAAGGGTTTTTATGCAAGTGAAACAAATTAAACGATTAAACCGCTGCAGTTTTGTTTTACTTCTCTTCCCGAGAAGTTTGTTTGGGCTGAGTTGGAACTCAGCACGCCTGCCTCTTGCTCCTCCTCTCGTTGATGACTTTGGAAGTGGTACCTCACTGGAAGTGTCTCTTTTTGCAGCTGTAGTGGTTCCCGAGAATTGGAAGGCAGCAAAAAAAAACAAACTCACCCGAGCGAGTTTTACACACTGACAAAGTGGTACTGCTCGACTAACTACCGTCCTTGCCCAGGAACGTTTTTCGTTTTAAAGAGAGCTTTCCGTGTGACAGCTTCTGGGGATGTGATGGCTCTAAAGGATGGAGAACAAGGGCTGGGACTCAAATTTCGTTACAAAATTTTAAAAAATTCAACACGTTTACACGTTTCACTTTCCACACATCTAAATACAATAAAAAAGCTTGTTACCAATTTTCAGTGAGGAATTAACATTAATATTGTTCATTTGCAGCCAACGCACACTGACAAGGCTCTTGACTCGAAATATGAGCTTGATTCATTCAAATTCAATGCATTCGCATTCGTCAGTTCTGTACAAATAGATCTATGTCATCGATAAAGCGTAATATGATGCTGCACAACACTCCAGTCTTCTCTCCTATGAAGACTGAATAATACTTTTTTATTTTTTTACTAAACTGTACATTAGAAGGTATTTTCTAAATGAAGATCAGTCAATAAACCCGTCTGATGTGTTCTGTCAACAAGATGCTTTTTTAAAATTGAAGCCACCTCAGGGTTTCCTTTCTTGTAGTAATGTTGAACATTTATTTTCAATTTTCAAATTACAAAAAAGAACTACAGCGTTTCGGCTGTTAAACTTCTTCAGGTGTGAGGAGACATCAGGTGCTTGACAGCTCAACAGTCGAAACACTGTGATTAGTCTCGTTACTTATGAGCGAGGAATTAACCTTTAATTAATTTAACTACAATAATAATAAAATAATAATAATAAAATAATAATAATAATAATAATAATAATGTTGCTGTTGTTGCTGGTCCGAGTATGAAAAGATGTAGAAAATCTGGACACCGGAGATGAATGAATGATGGGAAATTAGTAATGTAAAGTAGAATTACCCTTTATTAGTTGTTAATTAGAGACTTGAAACGAGATAAGATGAAAAGGTGTGCGGCGTCTTTAAAGGCTTTGCTGTGCTTGCTTACAGTGCTTTAACAGAAATCGTCCTTTCTTTAAACCAGAGATTATAGCCAGCTCTGCAAACTTTGTCCAACTCATTTCCATCATTGGGAAGTAGTGAAAAAACGACATCCCAGAGCTTTAAGTGACTGTTAAAACACGTTCAAACAGTTGCGGGAACAACGATTCTCTTTGACTTCTGAACTTTCTAATTATTCTCCCTACCTGACACTACGACGCTTAAAGCACTGGGCAAACACAGCGGGTCCAGGACGCGTATACAAAAGAGCGAGCTTCTGTGTGCGTCATGGACGGCCCACCCCTTCCCCCTGTTCTTTGTGGACAGCGGATTTCTCACAAGTGGAAAAAGAACCAAACCGCACAGTTTGAGCTCCTGTTTACTCCATTTACCACCCTCTCCTCCCCCCGTCGCGTTAATTCCCGAACATCTGCGAAGCTCTGACTCGCAGGCTACCTCGCCCTGCCCAGGTCCCGAAGCCGGCAGCAGCTCAATTTATTGGTCAAACAAGAAGGACAAGTTAAAATAAGGTGCCAGCCAAGTACACCGATGATAACAAATTGGTCTGGAAAAATAAACTCCCTTAAATAAACAAATCTGTGTGAAGGCCACTTGCCGCATACAAAATAGAAACTTATGGCAGGTGTTAAATTCACCAAATCTTCGTCTCCTTTAATAAAACCTAAATAATTAGGATTCAAATTGATGAAGCAACTAATAATACGATACATCCATTAAATCCATTAAAAGGAGCAGCGCAGCGCTGCAGAGGGGGTCTGCTGTAATGACTTTGAACTCAGTCTTTGAACCAAATAAAAAAAACCTAAAGAGAATTCGAAATAAAAGCGAATTGTATAAAAACGAATAAAAAAACAATGACACGATTCCGAAAGTCGCATATTATATGAAATATAAAAACTTTTTTTTGCAATGCTGACAATTTACCGAGAGCAGTATTTAGAGTTCTAAAAATCAAGTTGCAAAAATGTGATTTTAATCTGACTTAAAAATAGTAAGAACGGGATCATTTCACGGGCCACAGCCCTGTGCAGTTTGAACTTTTAACTCAATCTTGAATCGTACTGGTAGCCAATGGAGGGGGAAATACTAATTTCTCGACTTTTAGGAAATTACATGGAGTAGGTTATAATTCGTCCAGAACTGGTGACAGAGGACTGGCAAGTTCGTTTAACATTACCAATATTTTAACAGAACATCGTTTCTTTTTATACTTCATTGTAGTTATGTTGAGATATCCACTTTTTCACACAACTAAAAATAAACACAAAATTGGGGGGTATGGAAAATCAAATTAACACCTTAATTAGTTTTAATTATCCGCTGCAATTTTGTAACTATCACATTACGAAGAGAGAAAGAGAGAGACTATAAATATCTTTCCTATTTTAACCAGGTTTTTTTTTTACCAGTTGTTCCCTGATTTTGTGGGCATTTTTTCCATGCTATATATTTCATTCATTGAGACTTTACATATTTGAAGACTTTGTCCGGGTTTAACCATTTTCTAGTGTTTTGTTTCATGGCTGCAATTCTGTAATAAGTATTTCCACGTCCCTGACGGCAGTTCGGGTGGTGTTTGTCCCAGCAACGAAAATCCTCCTTTTCTCATTTGCTTCTTAATTTAATCTTTTATATTTCAGTAGTATTTCCTATTATTTTATATACATCAGATATGAAGTGAGTAGCGTTATTGCTACCTTGTCTATGTATCATAAATTTTATTAGAAGGTCTATTTAGGTTTAATGATAATAAGGAAATGAGACTGAGGTAGATCAGATTTTCCGAGCAAGAGTTCAAATGTTACTTATTTTGTAAAAAAAACTGGCAATATAAACAACCCTCGATGACCATTGCTTGAAAACTCGGTTTGTTTAACTGCGTTTAAAATCAGGGTCACATGCTATTGCTCTATAAAATATTAAACTCTTGTTTAGTTTTTTTTAAAAATACATTCCTCTCCATATGCTTAATGTAATAGTAATCCACCAGTTATTTATTTTAGGCCATGCGTTATATTAGATGTTTTAAATGGAAAGGTATTTGTTTTTACATGAAATCTAATATACGTCTAGGCTACTGAAAATAATCAGATCTCGTGGGAATTACCTGACGTTTTGAGCTACACCTACATCTCTAACGTTGCGAAGTTCAAAAAACATAAAATTGTAGCACATTAATGCTGTGTGTTGACGGCGGAAAATATTGAAAACCAAGCGAAACAAAACGCACTTTTTAATGGCCGTGTGCGATGCACTCCGACATGATTGAATCCATTACCATCAATTTCTAATAATAACAACCTATTAACACCTCTATTAATATAGAGCCTTTTTCCTTTTGAACACACACAGGTTACATGGCATGCTAAAAACATTCTAAAGCTACGTTTGAAAATGAATTATACGCGATTAAACAGCGCAGAATAAAGGCCACCCCTAAAATTATTTTGTTTCTTTGGACGTATTCTATTTTGCCCTGCTGAACTGGTTTCATTGCTGCAGGGACTATTTATCGCCATCATCAACACTCCTAATAGATTTTTACCACGCAATTGAAGACAAAACCATTACTTTCATTTACACTTTAAACTCTAATGAGTTTACATATAATATCACAT